GTCTCTATATAAAAGTATTATTTTAGAGAATTGGGAATTATTATTTTTGAAAATTTTAAATTATTATGTCCAAGAATTTTATGCTTATGTGTTACTCAATTAAAGTTGGGTAAGATTTTCAAAGATCAATAATTACTTAATCAAATATAACGGCTATAACAATATGACACAATTGTTTTATGAGTCAATTGAATTATAAAGTAACCAAACATCATTTTCTTTAAGAAGCTACTTTTACCAATTCAAAAGGTAATTATGGTTATTGGTAGGTACATTTATTTTTGTTAAGATTGCTTTCAAAAAAACAAAAATTAACATTATAATTCAATTGAAAAATTGTGATCATAAAATTTGGATAAAATGAATATGGGTAATTTGCGGCCACTCTTTGAAGTAATTCTAAATTGCGAAAAACTTCTTGTGTTTGGATAAGTATAACCACCAATATAATTATTAAAATATAAATTGCAGAGATATTCTTGAAATTTGATTTATTAAAAAATATATATAAAAAGGGTAAATTACAACCACCCATGAGGTATGGTTAAATTACGAAAATCCCCCTCTGTTTGGGTAATTACAACCACCCCCTCAACTATAAACTTTAGTGGAATCTTCTAGATTATATGGAATATTATCACTTTTCTACCCGTTTTATCTCATTTGAACTCCACATTTTGAAGCAAGATGATCTTAATATGTGTTTTTTGGCTTATATATATATATATATATATATATATATATATATATATATATATATATATATATATATATAAGATTTGTTATGATAATATTAATCTAAAGCATCTTTACATAAATTTATACAAAAATTAATTCCAAATTATTACCACTAAAGGGAAAGTGGAAAACACAAGTTAAAGTTGTTAGAGAGACCATTGTGTCCTCATTATATAAAGAGGTGAGGTGCATATTTAATTTTAATTGGTATAAAATTTAAAAAAAAAAAGTTACATCCCAAAGTTCAATTAAAAACATTTTATCTATTTTGAGCTCTGCTTAACAATAATAATAATAATAAATTCAAAAAAAAAAAAAGGAATCGTCAATAAGTGAAAGTTGAGGTATTGGAGAATTCCTTTAAGAGATAGATGAATTGTCATTTTGCTCATTTTTGATAAAAATTTAAAAACAAAAATGCCTTTTGCACAAAAGCAATTAATTTTTATTTTTCCAAAATATCATTTACATCGTTTCTAATCCCAAAATTTACTTTGTTCTCAATATAAACTCGGTTATTGAGATGCTACACACAATGAAATACACCTGGTGATTATGCAGATCAACGGTTAATAGTCATCCAGTGTATCTCATCGGATGCAGCATCAAATAAATCTATAAAGTCTCTTTTCTTTTCTTTTTTTTCTTTTCTTTCGGAGCTTTACAACATTATACACCGCTATTTTATTCATAATCCATATAGAATTTCTCCTTTGAAATCATAATTAAATCAAATTGTGCCACGCAATTTGATTAATCAAATCAAGAATTGAAAAATCTAATCAAGCATTGCATCAAGAATACATATATTCTGCACAATTGAAATCAAGATTATTAGTAAGTACATTAATTTTGGTACTAGGGCACATTATCTTTAGCTTTATTAGGGAATCATAGGACAATGAGTTTAAGACCACTCATTTCTCAATCGAACCAGTTTATTAAAGTGAAAATAAAAAGGGGTTTTGCATTTTTGCCCTTTTTTCTTTACTTGTTAATTTTTATTACATCATTAATCGATGAACTTCGTCAAGTGTAGTATACAGCTCGTATGAAAATTTGAACAAAAAATTTCATGTATGCCGATTTCGATTCATATTTTTTTTCTGATTTTGGAAATATATGTCGTCTTGAACTCATAAAATTCCAAAAAAAAAAAAAAAAAATTGGATCGTTATATATGTATGTATGTGTGTGAGAGATTTTGATTTTCAATCAAATTTTAATTGGCAGAAATAATTCCGTAAAAAATATTTTTACAAAAATTGCATTTATAATATTTTATAGATCGATTCAGATTGTCTCTGGTTTGTTTAGAACATGTGGTTCGAAGGACTATATGTTGGCATAAATTGATACCGACTCCTTATAATTTGGTAACTTCAACTCCATTAAAAACCAACCTATGAATTTTTTTTGGTTTACGCCCATTATATCAAGTTTTAGATCGAACAAATTCGTAGACACAAATAGTTCATGGGCGAAAATTGAGTTATTTAGGTCCCAGAAGACTAACATGGCGAACTGTTAGTTTTCGAATACGAGATATCCACCCTAGTCACTATAGTCGTATTTGCCCTTGAAATACAATTTCCGAGTTTCGGTCCAAAAATATCTGATTTTAAAACATATATTTTTTTTCATTTTATTTTTGAATTTTGATTTTCAATTTTTATGATTTCTTTGGAATATAATTGGAATTAATTTTTCACGTACGAAAAGAATTTGGAAAATTTTCGAAAGTGATAAATTACGATATGCTCGATTTCCAGTTTTGCATAGAACAAACAGAATATAATTTATGGGGCAAATACTGATAAATCCCTAAACCCAAACATAAAGTGCGGGTCAGTCCCCAACAACATTTTTTAAGCA